CTCTTTGTTCAACTTCACGATTCACGTTGTTGTATTTTCTGAGCTTTGCTATTTCATTTCACGAGATTGTTTAGTGCTGTCTTTTTTTATGCTGATATTTTGTGGATAAATTAACAAAATTTTTATTTCAGCCCTTTTTAATACAATGACAGATAAGAAACGCACTCGTGATTTTACTGCTTGCAACGTTGAAAAACATAAACACGTTGCATTGATGGTAACGCAAAAAGTGCAAATTCTGCAAAAGATTTGCGCTTTTCTTTTTTAGCAGAATGGTATGGAATTGCGACATGATTGTGTATGATATATGGAAAAATAAAGAAAAGCTGTTGAAATTTTACAGCAACAGTGATTCTAACACCGGAAATCTTTGCATGAGGCGAAATCGGCAAACCTTGATGCTGTGTACATATAATACAATGAATAATATAATCAATTATATATGTAATAATAATTTCATTAAATGTATCTAATACACCTTATTCATTTTGCACTTTTAGTCCGAATATTATGCTTTATCTTTCCTGTCCTGAAATCCGCACAACCTCTGGTCCCAAGCTTTGCAAATTTCTGGAATTCTACTGTACTTGTATTTCACACTTTTACAGTCATGAAAATTAGAAGAATTTAGAATTTGTTTTGAAAGAACAGCCATTAGAAGTTGCATGCACCTGTCTATCAGAAAACCTTTAAAATCAAAACTCCTAGACTGTTACATATTAAAATTTATCCAAAGATACATACTGGCAAAGCAGGATTAAGTATTAAGCAAAATAAGCACATGCTTAGGGCAACAAAAACAGGAGGCACCACAAAAATTTCCCATTACTAGTTTTGCCATAGAATGTATGGGGTAGCTAAACAAATACTGAAAAAATATAAGGCATGGCAAAAAACAGTCTGTATGTGGACCGTTTTTTCTGATGTGTGGCACATTGCTTTTCCCTACTAGAATCAAAGATAACATTATTCTTCTGGAGATTAATTATTTCTTACAAAATCTGATATGTACACCACGACTTCCTTGTACGGAATATTAAACTATATGCATTTTTTCCCACATTTCACTTAAACATATTTTCTCAAATTTCATTAGAGGTATATTTCTGTTTTTGAGTTATGCGAGATACAGATGCCACGAAAAAAATCTCTTTTGAATCCATTTTAAATCAAATTTTTATAATTTGTTTTGGCAAAAAGAGTACTTTATCCTGTCCTTACATATAGATGTCACGTTAAAAACTTCGTTAAATTTTCGTTAATTTATTCTAAAATGTGCATTTCTAGGCACTCACATATTTGCATAGTGAATTAAGATATTTAGGTAAATACCTATTACATGTTTTAGAAACAAAGTTTAGCCTGGTGGAGAAATTCATATAACTTAACATTTGGTTTGCTGCCTTAATAACCTAGAATAATTAAATAGCAGTAAGATGACATAAATAAATACTTTAATTCTAATAACCAATTCACCAAAGCAAATATAATTTAGGAAATAATTCTACCAAATCAACACAAACTGGCAGAATTTCAACACTAGTTTAACTTAACTTGCTTTTTAACATTTGAAAAGTATTTACAGTGTTGATGATAGATACAGTTAAATGATACAAAAATGTAAAATATATTTTCAACAGACATTGGTTAAAATACAATCTATGTCATCATACAGAAGCATCAAGGGGTCAGCACTGCATTATAGATATTGGTAGACTGAAATATTTATATAAATTAGTATACTATATGCATTATATAACACAAATACTCCTATACTTCTAAAAAGTAAAAGAATATAATTTTTCACAAAGAGACCAAGATTTTGATGTCTAAGTTCTGATTTGGCTATAACAGACAAGCAGTAAGGTCAGTGAAGAACAGTAGTTTGACTCAGGTTTGAATGCCAGTGAACAGGTTGGCTGCATGAGAGTTTCTGTACTTTCTCTGCTTATTTAGATTATTGCTAAGTATACCATTTGGTATACTTAGCAATAATCTAAATAAGCTTACAATAACTTTCTGATTTGGCTATGCTTCTGAGATGTAAAATTTTATTCTTCTCTTTTGTTCTTGCAAAATGGAAAACATCAATATGATGTAGGTATAAGCTAATCAAATATTTAATATGTGCAGTTAAGATATTTTATTTATTTTTACTACAATGTTGTAATTTAAGAAATACATGAAAAAATGGTAAAATTTTAAAATTTAAAAAATAGTAAAATTTTCCACATTATTTCCCACATAAGTAAAATTACAAAATTTTCTTAGCCTTTTTACTAGACAGAACTCAGGGAAAATGCAGTTCAATGCATGTAAAGCTTTATGTGATTAAGATTTTTGTTTTTCACTTTGGTATCAAGAAGCACACTTGAGTAATAACCTCTTAATTTTCTTAAAGCAGGATCCTTTCAAATAAATCTGCATCTGAGGTTGTCAAGACAGCCATCCTGACATTTCTACAGGCATCAAGACCTTTCAAATTTCAAGGAAAATTAATCATTTTAATAGCATACGCTCATTTTAATAGCATACGCTAAGTACTACATTGGTAAGATATCATAACAATATAGGATATTTCATTAAGGAGTCTCTCCAAAAAATTAAATATATCTCCCACTTTATACAGGAACAATTTTGTTTTCGATGATAAATTAGGCCACATTGCTCTCTTGATTTGATTTCTCCTGGTTTTCCTTTCAGAAAACATGAAATATTTATTGTGCTTTCAAAAAGATGCTTTGCTCATTAGGCAACATGGAAAAAAACAGATGAGGCAAAATGGACTGATTAATGTTCACAGAAGCTGTGAAGGAATTTTATATGCGATATCATATTTAAATGTACTTAGAGGTTAGCGAAGGGTATTTCCAACATAATTTTGTAAAAGGTGCTATATATTACATTCACTAGAGTACAGTTAAAACTATATATTTATTTTTGCTTATACACAAAACGTAATGCAAATCATGATAAGTTTTTAAATTGGACTACCTAGTTAAAATACCCAAATATACTCTGATAGCACACTGAAAGTTTACATAATTGAAATGCCTAGATTTGAATAAGTTAAGAATGTAATTAGTAGTTACTGATGACTATCAAATTAATGAAAGCATTAAAAAATAAGATTAACAAAACTATTCAAATGATTGAGTGCCATAGAAAGAATAAAAGCAAAAATGAATAATAATCATTTTTGCTTTTATTCTTAATAATAGTTGAATGTTTATTTAAAAGGGAAGGGGAAATTTTTCTTTCTACATGCAATGCTGAAAGAATAATAATGCTTAAAATTACTCTTATTATTCATAATCTTTAAAAGAATTAACATTTAATGAGGTAGAATTGCATTAGGTACTTTTTAAAATTGGGCCACCCAGGCAGTATAGCGGTTAGGGGAGTTGACTGTGATACTGAAGGGCCCAGGTTTGAATCCTGGAGAAGGCATGGATATAAATTGTCTGTTCCCTCACAGGAGGTAATGGTGGCCCCACCTATTAGGTGCCTCCACAATAAAATGACCACTACTTCTGGTCTTAGTTTTGGCAAAAGCCTAAAAATGGCTAGTGCTAGGCATTTAAAAGAAGATAAAAATTGGATAAAAAGGCAATTTTAATCTAGTGTAAATTATAAATGAAAACACTATCAATTTTGAGGGAGATCCAAACACAGGTGTCCTTTCTTCAACAGGGAGAAAGAAGGAAAGGAAAAAAAAAAAAAAAAAAACCTTTGTTTTGATTTATAATCTATGTCAAACTAACATTGTTTTGTCGGCCTAATTTAGAATTTTACTTTGACTTCTTTCTTCCATTTGATTATGTACTTAGTGGTTTTACTAGTGATTAATCATGGCATTTATCATCAAATAATATAGCAAAACAAAAAAACATAACTAAGTAAGCATTTTCATGTTCCATTCTCTCATAATAATAATTTGCAAATGAGTTTTAAATTTCAATTAAAAATTTTTATGAATTCACATGCCTTTATTCTTTTAAAGCACATTTGAACCCTTGCAAGTTAAAAATCAAACCCAAAGCCAAGTAAAAATAATTATGAAATTGCTTTTCTTCTGTTCATAGGAAATCACTTTTCTCAGTTTCAAAATGATAATTTCAATTTTACCATCAAATATAAATGAAGCTGATGCATTCTTCAAAGAAACTAGTATTTTATCCTCCAACAAAATTTGCAGAAATAGGCAAGAAATGCAATTATATACCACAGCAGAAGCCATACGGAGATAAAATCTGTAAAACTGCCCGAAAAAAAAAAGGCCTTTGCATCAATAATATACAGCTACACAGCATTATTGGGTTTATTACACAGCATTATTGGCATTATTGGGTTCAATAGATTTTGTATGACCTTATAGATGAAAATTCTTTAGAATAAGGATTTTTTCCTCCATTAGCTGTTTTTAATATATGGCTTAACCAATTATTTATAACAACTGATTTTAAGAAAGAATTAGTTTTCCAATATAGGATCATTGTGGTAAAACTTAAGAAATAGAATTTCTTTCATTATGTGTGTATAAATTATTAAAAAAAGTCAAGTTTATCACTAGAAAATGAACATTTTTTGCATGCTACTAATTTACTATAAAAGTTCTACTTAAATTTCTGATGATTAACAGCAGGATTATTAAAGGTATATATATGACTTTTTACTTTCATTTGAAGCATGACAGGATTTCATTTCAATGCAATTAAAATATAGTCAACAAAGAACTAAAAATAAAGAACAAAATTGTACAAATGATTTTTTCATATAAAGATATAAAAAAAAACTTCTTTTTGTAAGTTTAAATTATTATTTTAAGATCATGAAAATTATTCTTTTTAGGAAAGAGAACACATTTCATTAAAAAATTTCACTACGGATTCAACAGGTAAATAAATATTATGAATTTAATTCAATTTCAATAATATTAAAATATTTTGGATAATTTTTAATTTATCTATGTTGGGTGTTTTTTAATATATAATACAAAATCAACAATAAAAATATTTATTTATTAAAAAATTACATATATTTCTATTTGCCATGTTTCTTTTTATGCTTCTTTTTCATATGTTTCAGGCCAATAAGATACTGTTTCTTTCTTCTTCTGGCTTTTTGCCTATCCGATTTTTTTTGCAGTTTTTTAGCAGCAGATTGAACAGTACTTTTCTTTAATGTTTTCATTCGTTTTTCCTTCAGCTCCTTAATCACCTTTCTCAATCTGAAATCAATTTTACAATTTATCCTCTGAGAAAACTTAAACTTTTAATTAGATTATGAATACAACAGAAATAATGTATTTTAAATTCACTCATTTACTGAATTTTATCAACAATGTATTTTACTTTACACAATTGAACTTCACATAATTGCCCATTTGTTTAAACTCATTATGCCTGAAAACCATTTTGTTCAGAGAAAAGTCTTTTGGATTACTTTCCTAAATCAGATTTAAGTAAAGAACTCATTATAACATAGATCTTGTAAACCACTATGACTTTCAAAATTATGATTATAATCACCTGGCCTGTTATATACAAAATATTTAATACTTCAGCCAAGTTCTAATTTTCAACCTACAATGATAATTCTTATAAAAATAAAAACAGTCCAAAATGTTAAATTATTTATTAAATGAAGATTAAATATATATACTTAAGGAATATTAAAAGTCTTGTGTACATATTACACAATCCCACAACTAATAAAATTTTAATCTACTTCACAGGAATGAACAAATCATTAGTTAATAGATAAATTAAATTTTTTAAGTCATATGCTAACAAATTAATAACTATTTCAGTTGAAAACAAGTTGCAGTATTAAAAGGTATTAGGCAAGTAAACAATTTAAATAAGGAATATAAGATTTTTCAGGGGTTGACAAATTCAACCGCAAAAGAGAATATAAAAGCATGTTAATTCATTCCCATAACACTCTGTCATACAAACTATATGACAGATTATATTTAATTTGAATCATAAATTTACAAGTTATACTCAAAGCTACATAAGAGAATTTACACAACAGGAAATCACATGTACTTGTACTCTGATAAACTGAACAAAGAGAGTAAATGAAAAATATTTTTCAAATAATCAAATATACAATTTTAGTAACTACTTTTGAATTCTACATTTGAATATTCAGTGTGACTTTTAAAATTTTATAATGCTTGTAAATGTAAAAGTCCCCCCCTTTTTAGTATTTTAATTTTTTTAATAAAAAGAAGAAACCACTAAAATTCATTTGCAGCCAATTTCAAGCTTTTCCTCATTCAATGCTGAAACATAGTTACTAAAACTCAGGCTGTTGCAAGTATTTGTGTGCAAAATAACTCATTTCTAAAGGGCTTGTAAAGACTTCAAATTTTAAGATGTTTTACATGTGTGCAAGTTGCTAGGTTTAGGCTTTCCACATGGTTCATGAAGGACCACATAGTGGACATTCAAGAATGTTTTCTCCAGCTGAGCCATCCCCTCAGGAATTCAAAACAAATCTTTGTGTTGTGCGAGGTCACAATCTCAGCATGTGCACATCCCACTGTACTGAGGGTACAACAGGGATGAATGCACCAAACAATGGGGAATTTTTTGCTTCTTAAGATAGCTGTTCTACCCATCATGCTGAGTTCCACTCTAGGAGCTGAATGTGAAAGTGAGAGTTGGATAAATTATATTTTATTGATAACTGATAATAAATAGTTTTCATTATGTATTTTAGCATCAAAATAAAGATTTCATGCCTTTGTATTACAGATTTTTCATATTTGAGATATTACAGACTTATATAAGCAGTCACAACAGTATAAATGGGTCTCATTAACCACCTGAAGACCACATAAAGATATGTATGACTGTGTCAGTGCTTCAGCAAAGCTGCTTGATGAAAATCCTGTATTTGAGATATGACAGTACTAATGCTTTGATAGCGGCTAGTAGTTTCACCCTGGGAATCTGACTGTGTGAGAAAGGATTGCCAGATTATCAGCAGCTGAATTCCATGATTCAGTGTCTGATGGAGTGTTGACGAAGGTCTCTTTGGTGAAGTGGGGTACCTGAGTTACATAAAATAAATGCTCATTTCTTGTTATCTAAATAAGCTTGAGGCTTAATAAAGGAAGGTACAAACTTTTTAAAGAAATTGAGTTAAGACAGGGCATTGAAATTATATATGAATCAAATTACAGAATTTGCTCAGTCGTTATCTATGAATATATCATAGTGACTTATAAGTTAATTGTTGATTAATGAGATCAGATTAAACTATAAATACCCATATTTAGTAACTATAATATATGTATGCAAAGAAAGTAGAATTTGAAGTGAAATCCAAAAATTTAAGTTAATTGAGAAGGGAAGGCTATTCTCTGTGAATTATTTGAATGATATTTAATATTAATGGTGAATTACACTGAATGTCAATAACTGAATATGAACCTACAAAAATATAAAAAATCTGATAAATTGTTTACCTATACTATCAATTCATTACATGTTAGTTTGTGAATTGATGTTAATTGGTAAATTTGAATATTTATAGAATAAACTGCCTGTTAAGATAAATTTATAGCTATCAGAAGTACTATATTTTAATTTAATAGTCGATAGGAAAAAACTTAACTGATATGGGAAAATGGCATATTTAGCCAAACATGAGGAGCTATTGCAATTAGTTGAAGATTTTGGTCTTGATATAGACCTGGGAATGAGAAAAGCATAGTTGAGCAATACTGTTCTGAACAGTGAAGATTATGAAGAAGAAAAGATTAAGGCTTGTCTCGACTGTTATTGAGAGGAAAAGAGGAGAGAAAGTTTGAGCTAACGAAGTTAAGAATTACAGCTGTGAATAGCATAAGAGAATCCACCCATAATCTGTCAGATATTCTATTTCAATGAAACACGGCTGAAATGAAAAGACTCATGCAAAAATTTGATGTCAGGGTAACAAATATTAACTTATGTTTAGCCCTTTTTGGGTGTTAAGCCAGATCTATGGCTTTATCAGAAACCGAATGGCTGACCCAACTTGTGTCTCTTTTGCCAAGGCAGTTAGGACAAATAATACTAGGAGTACAAAAGTAATGGAAGAAACATGTGAGTATGCTCAGATCAAAAAAAGTTTTGTTGGATCATTATTATTTAAGCCCATATTTTAGGCAAACATTTGTAAATCATTCAAGGAAACTGAACAATAGATGGAAAGATTTTATGTATGAAATGCAAACTTATTTTGGTATATGAGTAAAATGGTTAGAAGCTGGGCTGAAAACTTTTACTGAACTGAAAAAAGTAATGGTCGTGGACCAGATGAAAAGGCATGTGAGTGCCAAAGCTAAAGAGAAATACATAGATGAATGGGGAGGGGGGGGGATAAATCACCATTTGTATTAACCAATAAGCTATATAACTTTGAAACTTTAAGGCAAGATTTCAAGAAAATGTATTCACTACCACAAGATATATTCAGGTTGTGAGAACCAACAAACCTAGAAAGCAAGCAATCTCTAACAAGTTATCGAGTAAAAAAATCATGCAGGTCTACTTTATGAAGGACTCGATTGTTATCGAGTCCTGCATAAAGTAGATGATCAGGATGAGGCAAAAGAAGCGGAAACCAATCGAATGTTTTAAGTATGGATCATCTTTATATTTGTGACCCTCATGTCCACAAAGAAGACAAAAAGGGCAAAAATCACTCTGATGTTTCAAGCATGGGTCATCTTCCCATTTGCAACCCTCCTCACCACAGTGGAAAAAAATTTGATGTGTATACCACATGACTTCCTTGTACGGAATATTAAATTACACGCATTTTTTCTTGCATTTCGTTTAAACTTATTGGATTGAATTAAATCTACTTTGACGATAGCGTATAAACCATAATAGAATAAATACACTCTTTAAAATTCAATATATTTTTTTACCATAGTGAAACTCTGGTGCTAGGTTCACCTAACAGCGTTATATTTCGTACATATTATAACTCACAATGCACAAAATTTATATCATTTGAAGAATTGTCTAATCGTTGCCACATGTTCTATTCAAACACTATAATAAATCTAGAATGATGTATAAAAGAAGTTAAGCAAATAAGAAACAAAAAAGAAACAGTTTTTCACAAAAGATTCAATATTTCTCATTCAATTAATTCAGTTCTCACTTCGCCACAAGGCAAAATACATAAAAACTCAAAATATCTATATTAAAAATTACAAGTAAATCTGAAACACTTATTTCCTCGAAAAAATACCAGAAAGGATTAAGCACGATTTAATTCGTAATAATAAATGAAGGCGTTACCTTTACTGTTGTGAAGCTTAGCCTCCCTTAGATTGGTAACAAATCTACTATTCTGCTGTTTCAAATGTAAACAAACACGTCCGCCATGTTATTTAAAAATTAGGCTTAACCACACTTAAACAGCTTTTAAATTGTTGATAATTCAACAAATATTGCTTGCAGATTTCATAAAGATAAAAACCTTAACCGAAAGATAAGAACAACATAATTCAATCATTTTTAAGCAAAAACTGCACAATTTATAAACATATAAGAGTAAAGAAACTGAGATCACTGAGCTGGGTAACAGAGTGGATATAAATAGATTTATTTACTAAAGAAATATTGATTATATTATCTCCTAATATAAATTTAGTATAATTTATCAAAAAGAGGAAACCCGCATGTAGGAAGTTAGCATGTAGGAGTTACGTTTTAAAGGAACTTGAATGTAAATCATGAAAAAAACTTTTTAAGGGGACTTGAATTTAAATCATGAATAACAAAATTTCAACATTCTGAGGCTACTCGTTTTTGAGTTATGCAAAATACATACGTACGTATGGACGGCATGGAAAATTCTCTTTAGAATTCATTTTAAATCAGGTTTATAACTTTTTTGAAGGAAAGAGTCCTTTATTCTGTCATTGCATACAGATGTCACGCATAAACATAGTTAATTGCACTGGGATGGATATTTTCATTGAAATATGCTGCCTGAAACTTTCCATGATTACAATACTTCCTTTTTACTTCGTACAAGGAAGTAAAAACAGGAAAAAGAAATTTACTTACTTAGCTTCGCACAGCAATGCAAAAAAATGCTTGGAGCTGTATTATAAGTAAGATGATTATTAATGGGAAAGAGTTAGTACTACATGATTCTGGTTTTTCTATCAATGTGATAATGAATTTCTATATGCCTTTGTGGATCTGTCAACTGCTGGATTGCGAGTCTAAGAGTCTTTATCTTGCTAATGTAAAAATTTAATGTGATTTTGGCTGCATGCTCAGAAAGCCCATGGTTATAGATTAGTCCCTTTATTTATACCATTATAGTATAGGAAATTGAACCTTCAAATTCATAAAAATCCTCTAAAAATGGAAAAATTCTCCCAGAGAGAGTAATTGCCATTATACGATCTCAGATAAGGAGAGATTTTCCCCAACCAGCAAGAGAATAAAAAAAGGGGACAAAATTAATGGGCAGACTTCTTGGAAGAAGAAGAATAAACGAGCTTCTGTATGTAATCAGGGAGATGGAAGAAATTGAAGAACTGCGCTTTAAGTTGGTCACTAATAAAATGACAGATCCAAAGGCAGTGCTGAGCATTTATGGAAAGATTAAAAACAACACTGTAAGAGAGCTTCCTCAGGTTTAAAAGGAAAGTTAATGAATCAACCAGTGCTGCATGCACCTGATTTTGAGAAAGAATTTGTAGTGCATCAGATGTGGGTGTCCCATCACAATGAACCAATAGCAAAGAGCATCTTCTACTTTATTTCAGTGAGAAATCCAGCTCTGTGATGAGAAACTATAATGCAACTGAATAAGAATGTGCGACTACAATATATGTTCTAAAAAAATTGAGGTTTTACCTTGATGGCTAACCTTTTATAATACAATAGGATCATGAACCACTTGCTAGCCTAAATTCTCATTCAGGTGTGAAACGAAGATTACTAAGGTACAGTACAACTCTAATTATCCGAACTGCAACTACCTGAATTCCTGATTATCCGAATAGCTTTCAGAATTTTACAGAATCAACTGAAAAAGAAGAGAAAAAGGAAAATGAAGCTCAAGAAAAGGAAAGAAAAGAGACAGGAGAAGATGATGATGACATGTCACTTGAGGAATTAAACATTCTTTTGAAAATGTCCGGATGTTCAGAAGTTGGTGCTGAGGATACGGCAGAATAGATGGTGTTTGATTTCTCAGACCTTGGGTTTCAAATTCTAAATGATGATAAATTTATTGAAAATGTGAAAAAAGAAAGTGTTGAGGAAGAAGATGACCTTAATGTCGAAGATGAAGCAGACACGAGACTATACTATGTATCTAACAGTTCAACTACAAGACATGAACGTAGACCAGTAACTGAAAATAAAAATGCGGCTGAACTTAGTCGTATAGAATTTTCAGAAAATGATAGACAGACTTGTTACTAAGAAGTCTATATAAGCCAAATAATCACAATAAAAAGATAAAACAGGGAAAATCACAATTTTAGGCAATGATTTTTGTTGGACATAAAAGATTCAGTTTCCAAAGGCACACCACTAAAAATTCCTACCGTGATTTTTGTAATAAAAAAGAGGAAGGACATGATGAATATTGTTACAAATTTTGTATTTTGATAGCTAATTTTAGTAGAATTATAATTAAAATTGTTTTATTTCCTTGTGCAATGCAGCGCGAGACCAATTTTAAGAGAAAGCTATGCCGGAAAAGTAAAACTACAAGAGCATTTGCATTCAACATTGAATAAATGGATATCTCGGTAATTTATATTTAAATTAAATAAATGTAATTGACTACTATGTTAGCTGTAACCCTAATTCCACACTCCTTTGCTTTCCAGAAATCTCAAGAAGCAAAAATTACTAGAAAGATTTTGCGCGGCTGGTTGAAAGCTATTTAAGAAACAGCGTCTCAGTTCAGTTCTTAGTTACTGTAGTTGGAGTTGTAGCTCTGCATGAACTTAAATAAATTGGATTCGCTTTCTCTTTAAATGTGCTGAGCATTGCATTCTATTTAACATTTTTAGTAGTTTGAAGTATAACTACTGATTATTATTGTGTGACATTGTGAACACTTGTACCAATAACTCTGATGAAAATTCCTGCATCCTGTTATATTTATTTTGATAAGAATAAATTTCATAACCTTTAAGACTTGTACATTCAATCTATTTCGAACCCGTACACATGCAACACTATATTGAACATAGCTTACACTGGCCATCCGAGGTCTAAAGGGCTCTAATGTTGTAACGTCAACGAACATCGTCAACAATACGCATGAATGCACTTTTTCTATCTAACATATTCATGGTCTTTAAATTCCTCCTAAACACATCAGTAAATAAATCAATAACAAGTTTATTTATTTTTCTAATAATGACTACTATTATTATTATTTGTTGACTACTATCATTCATGCTAAAAAATTATATTATTATTTTTGTGGAAAATCAGTCGGTGCTACTGCTGCAATTTTGCCGAATTTGTTCTAATAACTGTCTTTGAAAATTAAAATAAAATTGTATTAATAAAGCTTTAAATAAATAAATAATAACAAAAAGGGGAGCAGAGAAAGGAAGGAAATTTGAAAGGATTCAGATTTTAACATGACCTATACAATGCTTTTTGTCTTTTTTATTAAACATCACTTTCTTCACACTTATGCCATATAAAAAGTCAGCAATAAATTCACAAAATATTTAAAAACAAAAAACAACAGAACTTTAGTGCGTTAACATATTTTTTTTTGGGGGGGATTTGCTTTATTATTTCTTTAAAAATAATACATGGTGATAACATTTAGTGGCAATATCCTTTTATGTGAAAAGTGAATCAATAAAAAAATGAGGATCACGACTAATAGAACTTCCAAAGGGGGGGAGGGAGGGAAGGGAAAAAAAAGCTTCACCTGAAAAACAAGTACCAACTGGCACATATTTAAATATACACACATGGTAAGCACAATATTTCCATTAGACAATGATCATACAGAATATCTCAAAGTATGATATTAACCTTTTCCTATAAAAAGGATACAGATTAAATATAATAATTCACGTATTTTAAGCCATATTCCATAAAGAGACAAAACATATTAGTAAATCACACACATATTAAAAGTGACATACTTTTCGACTTCTTCTTCACTCTTAGCAGAAAATGGCAGTATTGTTGTGTCAGTAAGTGTACTAGATGTAGGCACAGAACTCATATCGTCTATTTCCTTTATTGTGACTGTGTGATCAGGTAGGTCATATGTAACAGATTCCAGTAAATGCTGTACCTCTGCATTTTTACAAAATTATACTTTAGGAAAAGTAACATTTCTGTATTTTTAAAAATTATTAACATTCAATAGTTAATGCTATAAATGCTTTCATTTTTAAAAAAATTTAATTCATTTACTAGATATTTATTTACTAGATAATTTAGATACATACAAAGAAATCGGATTCAATAGATAGCAAACTATTAAAATTTCCTCTACGAAAATAAAAATATTCTAACTTACCAGGCACTTGCCTTTGGGACAATATGGTATTACGTATTGTTTCTTTTTGCTGGAAATACAGGAAAAATTAATTACACATATATGTCAGATGATTTAATCCACATGAACAAAGAAAGTTGGTGCAACTGTGGAACAGAAATAATATTTTACTTGATTTAAGGTTTTTTAGACTCCACAGAAACAAAATTATAGTTAACCTTCTCTTGGCAATCACTTCTTAAAGACAATAATTTTTCAAAGTAACAACCATTTCTGAAGACACTCCTCTTTTATAGCACTCAATAATTCAGTCACAGCCCACCGGCACTTCTCAGTTCTGTATAAAATCAAAATTCTAGTCAGAACTCCAAATAAACTTAATTTAATTATCTTTATTTAGCTCTTTTCATTTCATTTATCTTTTCAATGATCTTGCATTGGGTTCCAATACTTCTGATTTTAGAAATGACACCCTAAGAGACTGCTTCCACAGAAGATCCAAATTATCTGCAGTCACAGGTTTTGAAAAGGATTCACTGGATATATAGAGTGTTTCAAAAAGAATGACCCGATCTGAAATGTGCATATTATGAAAAATATTGTGCATACACACTTCAGATTAATTTTATATTACATGGATAATAATAAAGTTTTTTTACATGCTACATTCATGGTGCTTATTGTTCACCTTTGGATGCACCACATATTTTATGTACACCACATTTTCATCTGATATGCAGGGATGGCTAGGTTATTTTCCTTTATGAAAACAACCTGCGTGCTTGAATTGTTTATACCATCTTCTAATGCTCTTCACAACAGGAGGTTCAATACCAGCGTTATTCTCAATGAGAATCATGTTGAACAGTTGTTACAGGTTTACAGTTCATGAAGCATAGAACAGAAAATGATTTCTGTTATGCATCTTCACAAACACTGAAGTGGTACAGAAAGAAGAGAGTTAGTACTACCTGTCAGGAAATGCGTGAAGCTTGAGATTTTCCTCTTTCTACCAACACCTTATTTGATCAAAACTGTTTAAAATCTAAATACCGTATTTATGCGAATCTAATGCGCCATCGAATCTAATGCGCATCCCCATTTTAAAACTTTAAATAATAAAAAAATTGTTTGTCCGTGAATGTAATGCGCATCAATGATATGAGGAATTTATTGAATCTTATTTTATACAACAATGGATTTGTATATAAACTATCAATTAATGGTATGATAATTTTATTTAAATTTAGATACCATATTTTATACAACAATGGATTTATACATAAAGTAACAGAACATAGAATTAACCTATTAGTGGGTTATTGTCATGTGAAACAATCAATGTTAATTAGCACTACCGTATATACTGTACCTATCGTAAAATATGAACATGAAATAAATCGTAACATTTCTATCTAGCTAACAGTTTCTACAATCAGTGATTAATAGTAAACGTCTTTATTCACTAATGTTTTCATCACTGGAATCCTCGCAGCTCTCTTTGTCAGAAGCAGATTCATTTCTTCTTTCCTCATCATCGTCATCGTCATCCTCGGCATTCCAGAGCACGTCATCGTCACTGCCATTCAATTAATTTGAAATGCAGCATTTCTTGAGAGATTTCACAATCATTGGTGCTTCGATGCATTTCCAGGCAGCAGAAACCCAGTGTGCAACAATGTGCGGTGCAGCACGCTTAATTTTTTCCTGTCGGGGTCAATACACGGTTTGGCTGACAAAAACCATTTTTCGTACTCCGCCTGAACGTACCCCTTAAAAGGTTTGTTTATACTAACGTCCAGGGGTTGTAACACAGACGTCATCCCTCCAGGAATGATAACAAGATCGCTGCCTAGGCTGTGCATCTTCTTTTTTACGTCGTCGGTGAGATGACCACGAAATGCGTCCAGACAAAGCATTGATGGTGGATTAGAGAGCCTACCGGGACGGCGTTTCCATACATTTCGGAGCCAATCAAGCATTAATGATTCCGTCATCCACCCCTTCTCTTGGTTTCGAATCAGGACATCATCTGGGAACAGCTTTTCATTCTTAGGGGTTTTAGGGCATGTTTTCCGTTTGAAGATTAAGAAAGGGGGAAGTTTGCACCCGTCTGCTGTTATTGCCAGCATCACTGTTACACGTTGTTTTTCACATCCCGAAGTTTTGATGATAACTTCCTTAGTCCCCTTCTCTGTAATGGTGTAGTTATGAGGCATATCAAACCAAATTGCCGTCTTGTCAGCGTTGCCAATTTGCCCCATTGAAAAATTCTTTTCCTTCCGAAGTGTGATGACATACCGCTGAAATGTTAGTAGTTTTCCCTCAAAATCTGCAGGAAGCTTTTGGCATATTGTTGTACGGCGTCTTAGAGACAAACCCATCCGCTTCATAAACCGATCCACCCATCCACGGCTAGCCTTAAACTCTTGTTTCGGTATTCCAAGAACTTCAGCCTCCTCTTTTGCTTTATTTCTTATGGTGTCACTAGTCACAGGTTGTCTATTCTTCCTCCTTTCACGTACAAATTCCAAAACTTTTTCTTCAATTTTAGGGTGTCTTCCTTTGTGAGGGCCAATGAATTTCTTTCTACTATCTTTAGTTGCAAACAGTGCCAATTTCTGTTGCCACCACAAGCGAACATTGCTCTCAGCTACGTTGAACTCTCTCCCTGCCTTTCTATTGCCATTTTTTTTCAGCATAAAGAATTACTTTACGTTTGAAAGTTTTGAAAGTGGGCATCCATTTCGTGACTACGTACTCTGCAGTTTGTATCCTCTATGCAATAATGTGTCAACGATAAATGTAACGGTAAATGTAGTCAAGAAATTTGGTTGACGTCATCGGCGAACTTTGCACTCGAATCTAATGCACACCCCAATTTTGAATACTACATTTTCCAAAAACGATGCGCATTAGATTCGCGTAAATACGGTAATTATGATTTTTTTTTAAAATCAGGCCATTCTTTTTGAAACACCTTTTTATGCTGTATATAGATATAATTATATACAGATTAAAATCACAGCATATTCATCTGCTTAATATCAGAGTGAAAAGGGGTAAATTTTACTTATTAAGTCATTTAATTAATTAAAGTCAAAGCAATGGATGAAATATTTTTCAGATTATTCCAGTTACCTTTTATGCAGTTTGTGCAATTTCTTTGCATTTTATTGCTTTTAAAAAAAGAGATTACATTATTCAGATATGAATCAGGAAATAAGATCTAAATTAATTGCAATTCTAGAAATAGATAAATGAAAATTATGTACATTTTTCAAAAGAGGATTTGAAAGCAATATGTGAAAGATGAGCTCTAAAACCAGAATTGGTTAGCTCTATGATACAAGGTAATAACATTTTAAAATAAATAAAAGCAGAAATTAGAAGGAAAATTAAGCAAGTTAAATGCTACAGCATATTTTAGCATTAAAATACCTTTTTTTTTTTTAAATGAAAATAGCTGCAATATCCAGATGTATTTAATGTTGAAATTATTGTTCTGTTAATCCTACCAAAAGCTGTAATGCTACCAACACCTGATTATAAATGAAACAAAATAAAAAACCTTATCACAAGATAGCCTAAGCTGTAATATGTTTTTGAATAAGAGCTAACATAACACTTAACTGAGTTAAGGATTCTACTCAAGGAGACACCATCATTTGAAAAGATACCATCAGAGTCAAATATTGCTTGATGATGGGGTAATCCAGAAAGATGCAGGACATTATAAAGACTATAGAATTAATTCCAACATTGGAATCAAATTCAGAACATTATAATGAAAATTAGAATAATGTCAAATCTTTAGAATCCTCCATTGGGGAGCAATACACGTCATAAATAGGTAGGAAGCAATACCAGTAGACAGATCTTGTATGTTTTGCTCAAGTTAAACAATTTGATCCTCCGAATAATTTTTAACCAGTACACTGGACTGAGAGCCTAAGCTTATGAAATATAATGGAAATTTAATAATGATAAACTGATTCAATTAAAATTTAAACTGAAACTGACAAAATCAATACAATACGTTTAATGAATAAAATTATCAGTGTTTTAAATGCTATCATGAGTTGATTTCACATTTTTTCAGATTAAAAATACTTTAATAAACTATACTGAATGTCAAAATTAATACTAACTCAATTATTTATATGTTTGATTATTCAAACATTTTTTTATTTCCTTTAGTTTTGCCTAGAACAGTGTTTCCAAACGTGGGGCTCATGCCCCAAAGGGAGGAAATTCAAAAATGGACTTGTGCAGAGACTTGAGGGAATAAGGGGCATCCAAATTTTCTTCAAAAATTCTAAATGTCATTTTTTATTCCGAAAAGTAAAGAAAAATGTAAGCGATGTACACACAATTTTTTTTCTTAAAATTGTGGTGCATTTTAAGTATTTTATAAAGAATTTTCGCTGTAGACATGGGCATTTAAATGGCTAACATATTATGTTCCCAGATGTTTTTCACACGTCAGCTGATAAATTCATTTTATTTTTTACCGTAGGAACAATTCCCTTGAATGGCAATAGCACTTGCTTTCAGCTTTGTTTACACTTAGAGAAGTGACGAAGTTCGTTTGCTTTATGCTTATGATCTTGGTTAGAAATTAAAATGTATGCATAAGATAGGTTAGCGATATAAAATGTACTGATAAGTGATATTTCATGCATTATGTTTGTTTACAGTATATAGCATAGCATACAAAATTGATTCTATTGAAACTAATTGAACAAAAATAGAACTGAGAAAGACCTAGTGAATGATGTAATGACATACTATTACAGTACAAAAAGCATTTACAAGTTATTTTTCAAGTAAGTAATTAAATTCATAATATTATGACACTGTTCATAAGAGAACTGTGAATGCATTTTAGTCTAGATAAATTTTATATAGGAATTATTATGCATTTCGAATAATTCATAATGGCCAGTAATGTTTTGTGTGTTATGCTTGTCTACAGAACATAACATATAAAACTGATTCTTTTAAAACCAGTTCAACAATAACTGAATTCAGATAGAGCTAATAAATACAGTAATTATATATTTCAAT